CTTTTATATAAGTTTAATAACTGTTTAATTTCAATTCATTTATATAGGTATTCAAACATTTCTATTTTCATTTGAAGTGATGATTCAAATGATACAACACTTTCTTTTTATATACTTTACATTAAAAATAATTTATTATTAAATTTTTGAATCCTATAATCACTTCCTTTGTTTTGAAATAACATTCAACACTTTTAAAAACAAAACATCGATAAATATCAATGACAAATAATAAATATATAAATCAAATGAGAATAAGTAGATAACTTATTAATAACAATATGATAAAAAGAAGTAAATTATATATTAAATGTAATAAATGATTATATGGATTATGATATTTTATTTTGTATTTCATTAATTAAATAAAAAGAATAAAACATCAAAAATAATAATCAAATCAATAAAAATAAACACCACAATAATATAATGAAGTTTGGTATATTTGAATTGAATATAAATGAATAATAATGAAAAATATTAGGTATAGAGAAGATTAAAGACAATTTAACCATTTTTTTAATCAGGCAATTTTATGTTAATTTTTTTTTGTAAGAATTTTATAAGACCATGATAAACTGATATTTTTATTAATCCTTTATTGTAACAATACACAATATACAATTTTAATTTTTTTTCATTAATATGTTCTCCTATAATTTTATTGAGTTGTTTATTTCTAAAAATTACTTTTCATCTAACTTATTCAATTTGTTATTATATTCTTATTCATTATCTAATTTGTTCTCTATATTCTTTTATATAATGTTCTAATGTTTATATCATTTATTTCTATTAATTCATTTCTAATTTCTTCATTCAGTCACGTAAAAGTATTTGCATTGTAAATTGATTACAATATATAGATTTTATTTTATTACAATACTATATAATCGGTAATTTATATTATGTAATAAAGTAATATTTTTGGATTAACATATAATATTTATATAATCACTACTTATATAAATTCTTTCTATGCTTGTGAAATTACTTTTTCTTCATTCTCTTTATTTTCTATAAGATTATTGAAATTTTATTCTTTATATTTTCATAAATTATTGTTCTATATATTAATTATATCTTTTTAATTGATACTTTAAACATTTATACTAATTTTACTTATTATTAATATTATTTAATGCTTTGAGTCATTTCAGATATTTTTTATTATTAATTTATAATATTATTATATTTAATCAGTAATTTATTATTTAATACAATTTCTGTTATGTCTATATCATGTTATTTGTTATTAATTCTATGTTATTTATCTTCATTAATTATTTTTCACTACTAAATTTTTATTTGATAAAAACAATTTCATTTGCATATTCAAAGACATGATTAGT